CGCCCGCTTTAATATCCATATAAAAAATTACAGTGCGGTTGCCAGGAGAAAAAATATACCTTTTTATCCAGCCAGAACCGGCATAAATTTTTCATATTTTCAGCTACCAAGGCGCTCATTCAGATTTCCCAGCCAGCTAACTAGCCAATGTTTTTTTTTTCCAGCTAGCTCAAATTCTGCCTGACGAGCGGGTATTTTGTCGAGCGGCTCCGTCGGGTACTCCTGTTTGATCACGCCATATTGTCCACTTTGAAAATATGCTATAAAGTGTTTTGCCTCACATGGTCAGCTTTTATGTAAATTTATTGGAACAAAATAAAGGGTTTGCATAAGTCCCACAGGACTGGTTTGGAACACCAACATGGCCGCCATTTCATTGTTTTGGGACACCAACATGGCCGCCGTGACGTCATGTGAAAACACTTTACAGCTGAAAGTACTCTTTTTAATTATTCCTTCTCATTTCTTGGAGGGGATTTTCACTATCGCGTATTTTTAACCGCTTTCACAGGAAAGGACGAGGTTGCTCCCCATCGTCCCCTTTGGGAATGGCGGATTTTTGTCTCCCATTCGGTGTTTGGGGCGGGCAAGACTTAGGGTGTTTCTACACATACAGGTTTGGCTCAGAGTTGCATGTAAGAGTGTATAACAATAACAAACACAGTGTAACTGTGTTAAAGACGGTACACAAATTCAAGATCCTTGGCGCAATTTACAATCAATTCAGTTCTTATTTTGGGCTGTCTGTTTTACAATGATTTTATTATCTTTATTTTTTTATTATTTTGCCACTTAAGATAAATTACAGCAAGGAGAAGTAAAAGCATAATAAATAGATATTATAATAACATTAAATTCAGCTTGGAAGGATTGACTGCCGCGGGGAAATCTCCGAGAAGCCAACGAGCTTATAAGAAATGTAAATTTCCGCTTACTGGCATTTTAAATACTGGGCGTCATTTAAAAATATAAGGAAAAAAAGACGTGTGCTATAGGATATAAGTATGTTTTCTGAACAAATATAGATATGTAGGTAATCAGATATTGAACTTGCACCCTTTCGAACCCTTAAAAATGGTTTTATCAGTCGCTTAAATTCGTTAAACGTTGGGGCGTCTTTGATGTTTTTTAATAGTTCGCTGAAGAATTCTACATTCTAGGACCTTGAAACAGGATCGAAAATTTCTCAATATTTGTTATACAAGTATGATGTCGGTAAAAGTCAGGGTATCTAGTCGAATATTAATGAATCTGATATCCAGCACCATTGCGATATAACTACATGAAAGAACTTTTGGACAGAATAGATAACAAACAGGTCAAGAATTTTCAAATTTGCAAAAAGAGGTTTACTTGACGCCTTGTAGTCAGTCTTAGAGATAGCCCAGACTACTTTTTTCTGTAGCAGGTAGATTTGTTGCAGGTTGGTGACATACGTAGAGGCCCAAATTAAATTGTAGACAGTAAGTAAGCTATGGATAAATAAGCGCATAATATAGTGTAAGAAGAGATTTTGAGGGTAACTGGTGGTACATTTAGCTTTGTAAAGTAACTCGACTGATTTAGAAATCTTAACCATCTTTCATAAGGTTGTCAATTCTGGGTGTTGACTAAATCCGTGTAGGCACTAAAAAATATCTTCAAAGATGACTCTTGCACTAGTATAAGGGGCATTTGGATCCCGGGGGTACTTCCTTATAAGAGGCTAATGGGGATGTGCCGCTGGATGGGGTCAAATTGTCACGACTGGATTGACTACTGATGGGGTTGCTTTTTCAATGGAGTTTCCATAATTGGGTAGGACATTTTCTGGCTTAGGGGGCAAGCGCGCGCAGCGGAGCACTATTGGTAAGAAAATTTGGTAATCTATGCATCCAAGAAATTTAGGCTCTGAGAAAATCGTCCGTACAGAGTACGTAAGTACGTGCACCACCTTATGTAAGCAGGGATGAAATTTTGCATTTTAAGCACCCGCGCGTTTCGACGGTAAATCGCATAGCTTCCCGGCCTTTTCGAGATAAAAACAACAACAACAAAAGCCGATTCTTTTTTTCGACTTAATCTCAATGTCTAAATGACGTGGATAACAGAGAAAGAGCTAGAGCTAGAGATAAGAACCAAAGGAGACCAATTTCGTTGAAACTAAAACATAAAAACTTTTTAGTGGCGGTTAGAAAAAGGGGAAATGCTAGCTGCCACCAAGGTGAAAATGAGCGGCAGCGATAAAAAAAAAAGTGAACAGGAACACATACGACATTTCCTCCATAAAACGTGGGGCTAGGAAGTTTCTGGAAGTTTGACGTTGTAGTCGTGCAAAACAACGGCAAAGAAATGTACAAAAAATCGTGCAAAATTGTTTTTTTTTTCTAATTAGAAAAAAAGTGTGCTGCATGTGCAAAGTTTTTTTTTGCTAATTAGACCTACTGATTTTTTTTTGGCTGTTTTCGTTGCCTTTGTCCCTTGGCGTTACACTATTTTATATTTGGTTTAGTAAACTATCGATATTAACGAGAGCTTCGCTTTTAGCCCTGGCTAAATCTATATATTATTTAAGGTTAGCAAACTTGCCAGAATGTTTGTACTGTAGGTGAACAGTAACGTGTTCTTCAGTCAATTAAAAAAATGGGTCAATTCATTTTAGGATGACCTATTTAAAGGATTGATAAGGTAGATACATCAATAGAAAGTGACTAAGTTGGGATCGCGAAAATTACATATTTGCCCAAAAGTGACTAAGATGGGGTCTAAAATATAGCCACAGAATAGACTATAATGGGGTAGGGGCTCTGAGAGGTCAGCGGCACATACCCAGCAAGTACTCCCCGCCCCGTCCCCGCTCCCCAGAGAACGCGAACGTCTTTGAGCGTGTTGCCGCCATGATTATGCAAATCGAAACCAACTTCCTTTAGGTGCTAAATAAAAGTCTTTGCCAAGCCCAGATTGGTTTCCTTTAGGAGTTTAATTCCCATTTTTCATTTGCTTCCTTTTCATAGCGGACTCCCTCACCAGGGTAAACGAGCTTCAAGTATGACAAGGTGAAATTCAATGTACCAACATAGTTTTTTTCTGTGATTTAAGTAAAACGTGAACAATATGCTTGTGAAGCCAATGAAAAGAGGGAAAAACTACACTAACGTTTTTAGCCTAACAACATAGCCGACATTTTGCGACGATGCCTTTACTGGTTTCCCCACGAAGTCAGTAGGGACCTTAAGATCCGACGACGGCGACGGCAACGGCAAAGAGAACGTCAAACAAGCAATAGGTTTATTTAATAGCCAAAACAACAATTTTGCACTTGCATCACGCTTATTGGTACATTTCTTTCCCGTCACTGCACGACTACGACGTGAGAATGCCTAATTTCACGTTGTACAGAGGAAGAACACAAGCGACTACGAAATTTCCTCCCTCTTTCTGAACTTGGATATGTTTCTCAGGAATTCAATTCAGTTAGGGTTCACCTACATTAGTGACTTGGAGTAATCGCGAAGAAGACTGAAAGAACGCGAATCCACTTTTTCAGCGACGTTTTCTCTGCCGTCGCCGTCCTCGGATCTTAAGTTCCCTATTGACGTCTGAGGAGCGAACGCAGAAACTCCATACTGATGACGTGTCAATTAACAGACTGTGTGAGTAGTGCTTTTGATTGGCTGAAACAAATTTTTCTCTTTGCAGGACAAATCAGAAGCACTAAATGACCCAGATCGGGGAAGTGACAAGTCATTAGTATCGAATATTTGCAGAAAACAATTGTTGAATTATTATTCCAGAATCTATATAGTCAAAATACACATTTTGACACAATACAAACAAATTAATTTATTGGGTTAATTACAATCATTATACTACTACATGAGAAATTGCTGCAATCTGATTGGCTTAGAGCAGTGGTATTTCGGTTTAATTTGAAATACCTACATGTGAAAATTACAAACCTTTTGCGGGTAGTAGTATAAACAAATAATAGCATGATTTGTATGTGATATTTGGCATGAGAAATACCACTCGTGATATTTATGCCAAATATCACTACAAATCATGTTATTACCTATACTTATAGAATAAAAAATAAAATAATTGTAATGTAATATTTGTGACTGACTACACTAAAGTATAACCACAGGTTTCCTAAGATCACGAGCGAGAATCATTATGTCATCATTATGTAATGATTTACGTACTAATTTGTTATTAAATCATGCTGATGACACTTGATTGACCGTAGTAATCATTGCATTGCATTATCATTGTTATAAATTGTAACTTTATGTTAAACCTTTTGCAATACTGTAACTTCATAATTATAGTCATGCAAGTAAAACTTATGTTGTTGTGTTGAATCGCTGTTGCATGAGTAACAAAACTAGCGTTTTTATAGGGATTTTAGCGATACCTATTTTAACAGTTGCATTTTCCTGCTATTTCTGTTCCCTAAATAACGATCGCTAAAATTCTTATACAAACTCCTTACATATTTCTGTTACGCAACAACGATTGTCACTCGCGAGTTTCCAGTACCTGTGGTACAGTATTAAAAATATTTCAAACAGTGAATATAGAGCGTGTCTAAGTGGACAGCTTAAATTCAAATACATATCCTTGCCTAATCAGTTTTTGCTAAAAACTCATAACAGCCGTGCATATCATTTAGAAAAAAACATGACCTGGCTGGACAGCCTTGATTAATGATATAATTCTCTTTACCACTACACTGGTATGACCAGCCAGTTTTGGCTAATTATGTTCCTCTTTTTAGGTTAGAAAAACGTGAGAGAGGCCCTTGACGGCAAAGTGTCTCAACTAATTTTGTCGCGAATTGTAGTGAATGAAAACAACGTCAGAATTATCTAGTGTTATCTTCTACAATAAAAAGATCTAAATGCATTCAGAATCGGGATAAACATTGGAAAGGGACCAAAAGGCTGACAGGTCTAAAAAAAAAACATGCTTTATAGAAAGCGTTACCGGGTGACTGACTGACTGTAATTTGTCAAGGACAAAAGTGGCCTCATATCTTCACTTTGTTTAAATTTACTGTAACACCACCTGAAACAAGCGAGAAGAAAGCGGATCACCAGCGATAAAGCAGCACCAATTACAAATATACTAATAATAGCAGGTACTGCGCATAGAATGGCGGTTTCTAATACTTCACAGAAATACCACGAGAACTTAAAATGATCGGTTAATGGAACAGCCAAAGATACAAAGGAGGCAAAAAACATGTTTACCATTCCCAAGAGGACAAGAGACAGCAACGAAATGGTTTCAACTCTGTTGGCAGTGATATCCCGAAACGGCTGAGTCATGGAATGATGTTGGAGAAACAGAACACAAAGGAAACTCATGATGAATAGACGGAGCATTGGGTCATTGACAAATGTTTTCAACAAAATGAGAATAAGCCGGCGTCCGATCATAACACTTTCCCAGCCCAAAGAGAGAATTCCACCATTCGCAGGCTTCTTGAAACAGCCAAAAAGTGTCGTCTCCACAGATCTCTTGGACATTTGCCTTGTGGCTGTGTCTGTTTGGGCCGCATTTCGTTTTACACAAAGCAGAAACAGGAATAGCCAGTAAAGAAGAAATGGAAATGGAAAACAGCAAGCCAATAGAAATTTCGCCACAGATAGGCTTCCGTTGTGCAACTTATAACATCCCCAAAGTAAGACAAAAACAAACGGCATAACAAAAGCCACGACAAATGCAATCAGAATATATTGCCACAACTGAAAACAGACAACGTTTCCATCCAAAAACAAGCGTTTCTCTGAGCCGATTGGCACACATCGTAAGAGGTTAAAACTCACTGAAGCAAGCGTTTTGTATCCTAGCAACATTGTCTGTAAAATGCCAGCCATATAAGGAGAAAAAGTTGGGGCCTCTTTTCTTCGACACCTCTGAGCTCCTCTGTGCAAACAATACAAGACACCTATCATTAGACATGTTCCAAATACGTCAGAAGCCGAAAATAACTGCTTCGTTACTACTGTGAGGCCTCGAAAGGGACAAATCAGTCCATTTGATGAAAACGATTGTCGAAAGTTGAACACTCCAACAAGGATGTTCTTTACTTTACCCTCCACAAAACGCCGTGATGTGTTTGAGGCAAGGAGAAGGTCCGCAGCCTGATAAAAATAGAAGATTATTTTAACATAACCTCCGTCGCTGTTACTTTCCTCATCTGCCGTATCGTTGGTTTTAAACCACTTGATTTGACGCACAATCCAAGGTATTATAGGAGGTTTAAATGTCAAGTAAAATGCCATTAGCGATACGTAGACTAACGCCACAGGCAAAAACCAATAGTCATTGCACTCGTTTGAGGGCCTGCAGGCTGTAGGGTAAAGTGTCTCCGAGTAAGCATCATTGCAGTGTCCACATAATTTGCCAGTACGGTTACCCTGGCAACCGTTGTATTTGGGAAACTCTGTTTCGTTAGGAGGACTACAATAACCAACCGGACACAACGTAAATTTAAGAGTCGGTGGAGTAATATTCTCTTTAAAACCCCAAAAGTTTGGTTTGGAGATTATATTTTGAGAACAGTTTGCTCCAAATGGGCATGGAAGACACTGAAATCCTGGTACCACATGAGACCCAACAGCACGACCGCGCTGTAGACTGTAGGAATTGTCTGCACAGGCTGAACAGCTAAACTGCCAAATAAAAGTGCCGTTTGGAAGTCTACCCATGGTAAAACTGAGAATCTCGATCTGACTCCCAATAGGACAGTTAAGAATAGTCGAGTTGTCTTTTCCAAAATCCATGACAGTGACGTTGGTGACCAACAGTAGAACACCATTACTGTAATATGGTGTAGATTCCATTGTTGTGTTAAATATTTTTAATTCCTCCAAACTGTCTGCGTGTATAAATAAGGCTTTTTTGTAACTAAATTCTGACCACCTTAACTCTGCTACAGTTTGCTTAAAAACACTATCTTGTACATGTATAACAACACCTTTTACATCATAGCCTAAGGACAAAAACCCACCTTGGACTGCTGCAAAGTTGTCTACAGCATAGCAGTTTTTAAATGTTGCCCCACTATTTCCCAAAACAACAGCACCACCCCAAACGCCTGTATTTCTATAAAAAGTTGTTTCTTCAAATAGCACATGAGTTCCAAAGAGGAGAGCGGCTCCTCCTTCGCCAGTCTCTGCTTTGTCCATATGACCTGCATTGTTCTCCACGAATTGACATTTCTTTATTGTTATATTGCCACGTGATTCTGCATGGATAGCACCTCCATACGTTCCAAAACAATTGCTGAATGTGGAGTTAAAGATGACAGCGGACATAGCAGCAACAGATAGAGCGCCTCCATATCCAGCACGAAAAGCTGTAACTTTATTGCCCACGAAAAGAGAATCCTTGACAATGAGTGAGGTTACTGTAACTGACAATGCGCCACCTACATTACCCGCTGTATTCTTTGAGAATCGACACTTTTCTATTGTAAGAAAGCAATTGCCTTCAATAGAGGCAGCTCCTCCCCATCCGGTTCCAGGATGAATAAACGCCCTATTCGATTCCATAATCACATTTCGAAAAATAACGACACTTTGATTGGATACCGTTATTGAGACAGGAGTCGAGTACAAACCTCTATTGTGCAAAAACATGCAGTTTTGTATCTTGACGTAGCTCCATTTAATCGAATTGCTGTTTGCTGTCGATTCAGGTAAATATGGTTCAACCCATATGAGTAGAGCGCCAAAATTGGAAATAAAATTACTATTACTAATGTTTATTTTAGTTTGTGTTTTACAAACCACACCCAAAGAACCACCAGGACGAATAGCCTTAGTCCCGCATCCTTCAAAACGACAGCTCTCCACCGTCAATACCAAGGCGTTGCCAGACTTTTTGTTCCGTGAGTCAAGAGTGGTGTTTATTAAAACTCCACTTCCAACACCAATAAAAGTTTTACAGTTGGTAAAAGTTAAATGCCGCAGTACTACTGAGGCCTTAACAGCCTTGATATATAAAGCAGCGCCTCCCCTAACTGCTGTGTTGTTTGTAAAATTATTCTGGTTGAGGCTGAAAACATCAATAGTGGCGCATTCAATGCTGATTGCTCCACCCACAACAGCAGATGTGTTTACAAACGATGATTTTGATACGTTCAAATTGCATAAGTTACTTCCTTGCAAAGAGATGACTCCGCCGTTAGTGCGTCCTCTGTGACCACAAAAAGTCGAGTTATAGATGTGAAAAGAAATATCCTCTGCACTTCCGTTGAGTACTTTTGCATAATCACTGCTAAACGTGCTCGAACTTATAGAAATATTTACATCGGTACTACGAACTATGCACAATACACTATCATCCATCAAATCTTCTCTCGTTGATAAAATACCATTGTCAAAGAAAGTCACAGTTTTGAATTGAATGTATTGGCTGCCATTGTTGCTCTCTAAGAAAATAAGACCTTGTGGTAAAATAAATTTGTTGCCAAAAAAAGTTGTATTTTCCAGGGTGATATTGAAGCTTACAGACTGGCCACTGTTCTGTGATTCCGTAAACGAAATACATCTGCCCACATCTTTTACGACATTGCCATATAACAAAGAAGAATTTGTCATCCTGAAGACTACTTGAATGTTCTTTGGATGTTTCGTTGTACTGTTCACCAGGACTGAGATGCACGCACTGTTATTGTAAAAAAACGAATTTGTAACCAGAATGTTTAAGGATAACCTGGTACGGATGTTGATCACCACACCCTGGTTGCTGCCTTCAAATCTACAACCATCGATATAAACAGAAGAATCTTGGACCATGATAGAGCTTTGACTTACAAGTAACCTTGATAAGGTTACTTTCATTTGCTGCTCGTTATAAGAACCGTTAATCTGCAAACCTCCTCCTTTGCTGCATTGTATGTGAGGCGTGGGACTGCCATATCCCATAATAGACAAACTCTTATTTATCTGAACTCCTGAATGCTCTGGTGACATTGATCGACAGGTGTAGGGATCTCTGTCTGTGTTATTGCCAGCCAAAAGAATGTGATCCCCACTTGACGCTAACTCAACAGCTCGTGAAATCGTTTTACAAGGCTTTGACTTATCACATGACCATGTGTCGTTACCCAGAGCTCGAGAAATGTATAAGTTCTTTCCCTCTGTGACAGTTCCTACAAAAAGGAACGAAATAACAAGACATTGTGGTTAAGTCCTAAAATTACTTTTAAATTTCGAAATGATAAGAGGTAGGAAGTGAAATAATAAGTAACCTCAGAAATTTTGCGACCGATTATAATAAATGTAAGGGTTTAAGAGTTTATAGTAGTCCCAGGTCCCTCACCGCCATTGTCTAAGTTGGTGTCGCAAACTCTTGGTGACTCAGATCAGTAGCCTATGACTCTCTTTATCTCTCATACAAGCCCTTGGAGTCAATCCTTTCCTGAGCAGATTTATAAATAGAACAGTGCCCAGAGAAGGCTTCGCACGTCGACAGTGAAACGACCCAATCACAACGAAGTGATGACAGTGCTACTGTTCTACATCAAACACACATGCACAGGAAATACAATAATGACACGCCAAACACAATCATAAGCTCGCGAATCATGACCTTAGCGTTTTGCTCTAGAACAACACTCAGAGGTTTTCTAGCTTTTCTTTGTAGCGGGTGGATTATACAGTGGAGAATTTTAAACACTGACTGTGAAAAATCCTAATTTTGGCTGCTTGTCTCACATTAAGGTGGCTCGACCCAGTATTTTTATAGCTACACCTTCTACCTTTGAATCTCTTATACTTAAACAAATTGATCTTTACAGTATGAAAACCCGCGAGTAAGAACCTACATTTTCCGGAGTTAGCCTAAACAGGTTCTTAATAAAGGGTAGTTAATACAATTTTAGGCTATTTAGGTTCTTAAATAGGTTCTTATTTCTGTAAAAAAAAAAAAAGATATTAAAAAACAAGCTACAAAACAAGATGGTAATCAGCCTACTTTTCAATTTCAACGCAATGCAACAATATTAACCCCTTGAACTTCATTTCTTTCCTGATTACATCAATAAATTAGCACTTTTATTTGCACCGCAATGCCAAGTTCCTAATTCTCCAAACAGGATTCTTGCACAGCTTTGCAGGTGCGTTTCACTAATATGATTTTAAAAAATAAGAACCTGTTTTTCTTTTACTAGATTAAATAGGTTCTTGTGATAGGGGGTATAAATGGCAAATTTTAGGCTAACAAATTCTTAATTGTCAGGTTCTTATTCGCGAGTTTTTACTGCAGTGTAAAAACATTATAACACATGTATTTACATATAGACTTAACTTTATTTTGATATTATAGAGTGTTTTCACATGATGTCACGGCGGCCATATTGGTGTCCCAAAACAATGAAACGGCGGCCATGTTGGTGTCTCAAACCAGTCCTCTGGGAGCTGAACTCTTTTCTTATGCAAACGCTTTCTTTTGTTCCAATAAATTTGCTTAGATGCTGGCCACGTGAGTGAAAACGCTCTATTTTTGGGGCTATCGGAATAAATATCACGTGAGAATGACGTCACAACAGTTTTAGCTTTAAATCGAATTTCTGCCCTTAGCGGCATCTTCTTTGTAAATGCTTTACGCTAGGTATAATTTGGGTGCTTGTCTTTTGTCGTGGGAAGTTTCACAGAAATCTATGGGAGAAATTTCGTTACATCTTTGGTATAAGTTATGCATGAACTAAAGGCTGGACATAATGCAGACAAATTTGCTACCTTTAGGAGGTTTCCGAGAAGTTTTTATCACTCATTCGTTTTGCAAATGACCTTTATACAAAAATAATCTGAGCCCAGTGAGTTTTTCGAAGGCCGGTTAATCCGGGATCTTTTGTTCAAAAGCATTTTTTCGGATAATTTTCTCTACTAACTTTTAGAGCATCCAATCATCAAATTTTAGACCAAAAGAATTTGATTGACTTTCCTTTTAAATAAGCTCTCAAATCTGAATTAAAATTTTGCATCAACCCTTGGTTAAGTTAGCCCAGCTATTATAAAGCGACCCAGGTTTTGCTTTAAATTTGTACTGCAGGTCATTTTCACATTTTGTCACCTGACCTTAAGCACAACATACATTCGTGAGCTGTTTTTGCGCATTTTTACCTCTTGGACAAACCCACAATGTTACCCCTCCCTAACACGGTCATTCGAATAAAATGACCAGCTGTAACAAGGCTATCGTAAAATTCCGAAAATAAGCCCCTCCAAATATTAGCCCCTGAAACTCGTAAAGCAAAAAGCCCTCCGTTAAATCGCCCCTCCGAATATAAGCCTCCGGGGGCTTGTACTTGGAAAATGCCCTCAAATTCAAAGTAAAACAAAGCAATACTGTTACAGTAACATATATTTCTTTCCTTTTGCCAAAAAAACTATGACGTGTGCCAAATGATTGCAGTCAGAAAGTGTCACAGTATATTACTGTTTGCGTGATTCACTCTTCACTTTTGGCTTTTTCATAAAGACAAAGTACTTGCACGGCTGGTTTTTGAAATGGTGAACGTCCTAAACGCGAGTTTCAGTAAAACCTACAAATTAGGCCCGGTTCAGACGCCGAACTTTTCATGAGCCGAACCTAATTCGAATTAAGGCCGACCCAAATTATTAAGATCGCCTGAACTGATTCAGACGCCGATCTTTGTCGCAGCTGAACTAAGTTCAAAAGGTGGAAAATGCTAATTTCCGACAAACTGCTTACAAAATACGTTATAATAATTTATGCATAGGTTCGGTACATGAAAAGTTCGGCGTCTGAATCAAAGCCGTTCCAAAGTCGTTCCAACGGCGAAATTCCCGGCTGGGCTAGGCGTGAAGAACGGCTGAGGCGTTCCTGATTGATTCAGACGCCGAACTTTTCATGTACTTAATTCAATGTATTAGGTTCGGCTCATGAAAAGTTCGGCGTCTGAACCGGGCCTTACTGACATAAATTTCCTTCCAACTATAAGCTAGCCCAATCGATTTTGAGACTCAAATTCCCCTCCAAGTATAAGCCTATAGAAGCCCCTTCGAATATAAGCCCCTCCAAAAATAGGACCCTCAAAAAGGGCCCGGGGCTTATTTTCGGAATTTTACGGTACTCTTTTAGGGATAACATAGTGTCAGATACAATAAAGAGCCAAGCAGAGGTATGTTATAGGGATCGTATAACATTTGATATCTTAAAGGTCACGAGAGCTGTCCGCCGCCTGTAAAGCGGATTTTTCTTACTATAATTAGCTGTTTGTTTACAAAAGGAAACACTTCATGTCTCAATCTAACCGGAGGGGAGGGTAGTCATTTCTGTATTCAATGTTTAAAACATTCTGGACATCTATTTTTTCGCACATACTGCATGTTTCACTCAATATCTGAAATAACCTAAAGTTTGCGTTCCGGCATTTTATCCTAACTAAGTGCACATTTTTCCCTTGGCACACAGTACTGAACTGCCATTAATCCTAGCCTGCGAACAAGCTCTCCATTTGAGAGATATCGTGAAGAGTAGACGCGCGAGAGGCACGCGCCTCACGGCTCGCTTCGCTTCCCCAGAGAGCTTGCTCGAAGGCTAATTAAACCATAAAGATAGCACATTCCCCCGGGTCAGAACAGATCTTTCCAAATTACAGTATATGCTTACAGCAAATTTTGCAATTGAAACAGTCTTCAAGGAAGAATTTTACTAGTTTTCGTAAATCAAATCGCTCGGCAGAATGTTTTGCGCAAGACGACCATTTTCCTCTTAATTTTCAAATGGGTCCTGAGGACCAGAAATCAACTTTGTTATAAACTCTAATCATGTAGATGTACGATTAAATGCTTCAAATATTCGTTTGCAGTATTGGGATATAAATTCATTCGATATTGCAGTATTCTAAAAACAGAGCGACGCGAGCGATAGGTAACATTTCATCTTTTCTTAATTGTTTGTATCTATCAAATGTTTTGGTTTTTTTATGGAATCGTGTTGTGTTCGGCTTCCCGCATGTTACCCACAACAGGACCGATACATATTACTTCTCCTTGGCTAAAACCCTCGATTATTATTCATTCTTACCTTCAAATATGACACACCACATGCAAGTAAATGTGATAAACAGAGCTACGATTGCGCATCTTGCCATTTTGGGCCCCGTAACTTGCACCGATGCAAACCCAGAATTTGAAAGCGAAAATCAAAGGACCTCAAACTCGTTGCCGTATGACTCGGCAGATATTGAGTCACGCACTCATTGTGGTCACGCCATAAAATACTAGTGCTGAAAGTACTCTTTTTAACCTGAAGGCTCATACTCACTGGGCTGTCAGATTACTCCTTTTCATTTCTTGCGATGGATTTTCACTATTTTCACTTACCGCGTTCACAGGAAAGGACGACGATACTCGTCGTCTCCCTAAGTATTGTAAATTACGAATTTTTCTCTCACATTGGGTACTCGGGACAGGTAAGAATTTGGGTGTTTTTACCCATACAGGTTTGGCTCAGAGTTGAACGTCGAAAAATATCTCCATAACAATAAAGAACACAACCCTACTGTGTAAAAGGCGGCACTCAAATTCAACTCTCTTACTGCAATATAATAAAAGTCAGTTCAGTTGATTTGGGTTGATTGTTTTACAATAAATGATATCCTTTAGATGCTAAATAAAGCCTTCGCCAGCCCCAGATTGGCTTCCTCCAGGAGTTTATTTCTAACTCTTCGTTTGCCTCCTTTTCATAGCGGACTGCCTCCCCATAGTAAACGAGGCTCAAGAATGGCACAGTGAAATACAATGAACCAACAGACTTGTGTCCGTGATTAACAATTACGTTAACGATAGGCTTATTTAGCCAACGACAAGAGGGAAAAACTACACTAACGTTTTTAGCCTGAGAAAACAGCCGACATTCTGCAATCCCTCAGAACAGACAAGACGAGACAAGAAAAGAACGTAAAAGACAAGTAGGCTTTCCTCTGCTATTTTCCGAACCAATAATAGATTAAATACTGTTCATTCCCTGGCGGTCTATGTTTACTCGTGCATTTTAGGTTGTACTATAGAATAAATTTTCATTTTTTCGTACTAAAATTAATTTCCATGTTGTTTTTAGCCGCTAGTAAAGGCACCTTTTTCCAGTGGACTCTGGAACATGATGTGGCTAGGAGGAGCCCTGAGAGAGGACAAATATGGGAGAACATTGTAGCAGCACTGAATTCTCTTCAGCAGTCGAAGTTTATAGTAAATGAAAGTCAAGAGCTGTTCGAGATTGGTATTCACTTCTAACTTCAAAACCAAAACAAAAGCTGCCCGACGAAGAGAAAGCCTCCAGAATCGAATAATACAGGTCGAAAAGAACAATAAATTCGCCATCGTCGATTTAACCACCGTTATAGCTAATAAGTTTTAAATTACGGAATCCTTTGAATGCCATAACAAGACTGTAACACGACAAAGTTCTTCGCAAAAAAAAAGTCGTCATCTGTCTGGGAAGCTGCACTGCTTAAACTTCGTTTTCCCCGCCGAAAGCAAAGCCCTTATTTTTTTGGACCCAGTCTGCCTCGGTTGATTGCGGAGCGTTATCGTTGTCCGTTTCGTTGTCGATGCTTAAGGTCCACCAATGACGAGTTGATTATATCTTAATTACTATAATTATTATTATTATAAGATGGATAGGAATATTCTAGCGCTGCCAGTTCGCTCGCTTGGGTGGCCTGCTGGGCCAGACCCATCCCTTGAAGCAAGGCACGAATATGCTTCGTCTTTCAAACTAACGAAGCCCCTTGTTGAACAAATTGTATCTCAGTCACATCAGTTACCAGAAGATTCCCTCACAAAATTAGCACAACAGGAAGCAAGAAGTGAAAGATTAAAGGAACTCGAATAAAGGGCAGAGGTATTAAGGAGATGGCACCAAGAAAGACTCAGCGAGCACAAGATCTGCTGGCAGGAAGGGGATCATCAGCATGGCTTACAGTGTTTCCCCTCCAGGATTTAGGCTTTAACCCGAATAAGAGGGAGTTCCCTGATGCTGTTAAACTACGCTACGACTGGCCAGTGGAAGATATCCCCTCCACATGTGCTTGTGGGGAAGCCTTTACTGTTGATCACTTTATGATTTGCAAACTAGGAGATTTTATTACTCAACGCCACAACGAGCTAAGAGATCTCCGAGCTGAATTTCTAAGTTTGGTTTGTAGTGATGTCGAGATCGAGCCAGTCCTTCAAGACATCTCCGGCGAACATTTAAACAGAGGATCTAGTAAAGCTCAGGATACGAGTTTAGATATCCACGTACGTTGTTTCTACTCAGAGAGCCACCGATCGGTATTCTTCGATGTAAGGGTCTGTCACCCTAATGCTGTATCGTATAGGGACCAAGAGCCACAACACATTTATCGTATCCGTGAGAACGAGAAAAAGGGTCTCTAGTCAAGGAGAGTTCTGGACATCGAGCATTTTAAACAGCGAAGGGGTTTTGCCGGAACTTTGTATTGATATTGACGTTTTCTTTTTATGAATATTTTTCTGAAGATTTGTGTGCAGCTTATTATAAGATTTTAATCTTAAAGTATTTTTGAAAATGAAAAGTTATCATTATTATTATTATTATTATTGATCCTTATTCTTGATCCTTGATAACCTCCCGAGCTTAAACGAAAAAAATGCCTATTTACGCCCCTGAAAAATATGACATTGAATGAAAATCTGAGAGATTTATGACTAATTTCCGGTTACTTTCCCACGTGAGATGGAAGCCCTGCTCGATGATTGACCTTTTTTTGTTATAAGTTTCTTGGACAATCTCGTAAAGCACAATCATTTCGAAAGTACGGCTTAGTTCATCTAACACCAGAGGAACAACTCTAAGATTGTTTGTTTCTATTAAATTTCCTGGCTTTGGGAAAGGGCACTCTACCACCAGTACTCTCCTAGGCGTCCGAGATGACATGATACAATCAGTGAGACGAGAGGAAATTTCAGGTTTAGTGTTTGCTGACTGTTCAAGAGGGTAGTTTCGAAAACGAAGCACTCGAAAACGAAGACCGTTCTCTTCAGGGGTACTGAAAAAGATATATAATAGGGGTTTCCGTCAAAAGAGTTCTCATGTGCAGATTGATGACAGCAGATCAGACAAAGAAAGCATTGTGTTTGGCGTGCCGTAAGGCTCTATATTCAATGGGCCCATTAATTATTGGGGAGGGCTCCACGCAATAAGCCTGCTCGCATGGGCTACCCGAATATTATATAAATACTGCTACAATGTTTGTCTGAGTATTTTTGAGGAAAAGCGCAAAATTATCTATGGGTTTTGGATTTTCAGTATTACATTCATTATATCTTAAATATTTATTATTTTTTCTATGATCATACAGATAATAGCTACTTTGATATATATATATATATATATATATATATATATATATATAGTATATATAAGATGAAATGACGAAATTCAAATTGATCATCAACTAAAAAGTGCTCAGTGGGTTTACCAGAGCTTTGAATAGATACGTAGACTTGAACTAGGTCAAAAACATTTACTTGCTACTCAGAGTTTCATGCTTCATGAGAAGCAATCATCAGGTAACTGCCAAAAAGAAACAATACATGGTGTTTTATAGTGATTTAGAGTGATTTTGAAAAAAACGGTAGCGATTCATAATAGGCTGGGTTGCATAGCAACGGATAAACAATTTTCAGTAAACCGCTGAAAAGGAAAAAATAACATACGTCTTACAGGCTTAAATCACGTTATTTAGAAGAAATTTCTTTGCATGTCTGCAAGTTGATACGAGTTCATTTCTGTTGTTCAGGGTCGCCATATTCGGTCTACAAATTATATAGTACTCAGGGGCGGATCCAGGATTTTTCTTAGGAGGGGGTGCACCACTAACTGACTGATGACGTAAAAAATTTTAAAAGCGAATACGAAGAAGAGGGCTTTTGACTAGGAAATAACATAATGTGAACTGCTGAGAATACATATCAAACGATAGAGCAGATTTTGTATGTCTGTCAAGCGACTGCACAGTGTTAATTAGAAAGCGGCCGCAGGTCATCCCAGGCGGGGGTGCGCACCCCCTGCACCCTCCCCCTGGATCCGCCCCTGGTACTTCTCCCAGAAACATGCATGAATTACACTTCTTCGTTACATTTGAATAGGATCTTGCATGTCTAATACTCCGCCATCTAATTTGGTAGTCAGTTTTCTTGTCTTTCAAGCCCCATACATACTTGCTTAGCTCAGTGGAATTTCTATAACGTTCATTTCTAAAGGAGCAAGTGTGGTTTCTGTAACGCGATTTGAATGATGTGTCACAAAGACCATTGTAAGTTTGCTTCGAGTGCGATGTCGTGACTTCTGCTTGGTATATGATATTCCGCTCGTTGCAATTTCCATCCATAGGGCAGGACCTTTTGCTGCGGCAGTTGCAAGTGTTGATAGTTTGAACTGGTAAGTTTGATGACCTGCTATTGACAGCTTTATTGTGGTTCGAGATAATGGCTTTTACGTTGTTCATGTTGTTCACGTTGTTCACTCTCAAACTTAGCTATAGCTGCATGAACAACGTAAAAGCCATCTCCTTTGATATTTGTCACCTTGGTCGTCAACAAGGCAAGAGAGTGAGATTCCTACTAACATAGCTGGCTTAAAAATACAAAGACGGACTCCTAAAAAGGTCGATATTCTCAGTTCGTAACACATAACGCCGAAAGAACAAAGTCTTCTCAGTTTATTGGAGATATCAACGGTTCTGTTATGTCGTCTCTGCTGTTAAGTCGCGGACGAAACGAAAACCACACTGCAACAACCATTCGACACAATTGTGATAAAATTGTAATCGCCAAGAAAATTCCAAAGAGGACAGGCACAAAACAGAGAATGACAATTTCCACACCCTGGCAAATGTCCCACCAGAAACTAAAATGATCGCTAAATGGAACAGCCAGGGACATAAAAGAAGCAAAAAAGACATTGACAATTGCCAAAACTACGAGAAATAGAAGTGAGATGGTTTCCACTTTGTTGGCCGTGCTGTCTCGAAACGGCTGCGTCAGGGCATGGTGGAGAAGAAACAGAACACTGAAGAAGGTCATAAGAAGCAGACGCGGCATTGGGTCATTGATGAAGACCTTGAACACGATCAAAACCAGCCGGCGCCCAATCATAACACTTTCCCAGCTCAGTGAAAGTTTTCCACCATCCTCTGGTCTCTTGAAAGAGTCATAAAGAACCCTCTCTGCAGAGTTCCTCGATGTCTCCCTCGTAAACGAGCCTCTATAGTATAGATTGCTCGCCTTACAAAACTTGGCGGCAAAGGCCCAATAGAGAAGAAGCGGTAAAGGAAAACAACAGGCAAGGATAAAAATTCCTGTAGAAATGGTTCCACTGTACAACTTAAACGAGCCCCAAAACAAAACAACAACAAAAGGCACAAAAGAAACAAATACGAAAGCGATCAAGATGTATTGCCACCACTGAAAACAAACAATGTTTCCGTCGTAAAATAAGCGTTTCTCAGAGCCAATAGGAACACAACGCAGCAAACTGAAGCTGGTGGACCCTAATGTGCTATACCCAAGCAACATCGTACGTAGAATACCGCCTAAATAGGGCTGTGGTGATGGATATTTCTGACCTCGGAGTTTCTGGACACAATAGTGACAAGCGTAGAAGGCACAAATCATGACGAAAGTACCAGCCACATGGCAGGAAGAAAACAGCTTTTTGTACAGAACTGTGAGTCCTGGAAAAGGGCAAAGTGACCCACCAAGAGAAAGCCTTTGTTGGAAGTTAAAGAACCCCATGAAGGGCTCAATAACATGAGTTTTTATAATGATTTTCGATGATTTGGAGATGAGTAGAAGATCTGCTGCCTGGTAGAAGTAAAAGATAATCTTCAAGTATCCACTATCGAAGCTGTTCTCCATTTCATCATCTAGGTCATCCTTGAACCATAGGAGTTGACGCTTGATCCATGGCAAGACCATTGTCCTAAATGTAAAGTATAGCGCCATGAATGATACATATAGAAAAGCCAGAGGCCAAAACCAATAATCTTTGCACTCTTGTGAAGGTCGGCAGGTTGCAGAGTAAAGTGATTCTGAGTAATTCACCTTGCACTGTCCACATAATTTACCAAAACGGTTACCTTGGCAGCCATTGTATTCGGAAAAGTCTGTTTTCTTTGGAGGACGGCAATAACCATGAGGACACATGGTAAACTTCAGTGTTGGTGGATCTAAATGATTTTTGAATCCCCAAAAGTCAGGTTTGGCACTTATATTACCAGTGCAATCTGCTCCAAAAGGGCATGGGTGGCACTGCAGGGCTGTTTTATTATCTTCAAACACACTCCCACGCTGCAGACTATATGTGTGTATTGGACATACCTTACAGTCGTATCTACGGGTTGTTATATTAAACGTTTTGCAGTCGTTATGATTACGCATTGGTATGACACTTGAGAAATTTAACCTCTCCAGTTGACTTCCATTTGGACAATAAAACGCTGAGTCCCCAAATTTCAAATTATTGTCAATGCTATCATATACAGCAAGTAGAGTAAATGTAGTGGCATGAGGCTGGGAATCCAGAAGTGCGTCCAGTGTAGTATTGTGAATTTTCAACGATCTTGCACTTTCTGTGTGAATAAAAGAGCTCCTAGTTAATTTCCTTTGTCCGAATTTTAAGTACTTTTTGCTTCTTCTGAAGAGACAGCCTTGTATGTTGAGACTTGTTGAACCATCATTTGTGTGAATATGACCGCCATGGGTAGATGAAAAGTTATCAGTGAAATTACACTTCCGAAAAAAAACATTTCCGTTAACCAAATGTATTGCTCCTCCAAATTCCGCGCGATTTTTTTCGAACTTTGTATCTTCTACGAGAACACGTCCTTCGTGGAGTGGTCTTCGGCATTCTCTATATGGTCCGCCTTTTCCACAAAAATTAGAAAAACTCTTGGCACATCCACACTGGAATGGCGAGTTGGGTGCTAGTGACAGTAAAACGGCACCTCCGTAACCGTATCCCTTTTCTCTATCTAAGCCACCAATGGCTGAATTATTCACAAAATGAGACCTGTTAAGAACAAAGCTCGCATTGCCATTTGAATGTTTGACGAATATTGCACTTCCTTTTGCAGCTGAACAATTTATGAATTTCGTGTTCAATATTCTTATAGACAATGAATCGTTACTTTTACTCATGGCTGAAAGAGCTCCTGAACCAGGCTCGTCATAAGGATGGTTTACATCACGAAAATTATTGTCAAATAAAGAGTCCGCCACTAAGATACTTTGTGTGTCATTCATGCAAATTGCGCTGCATTCACCAGCTTGATTGTTCTGAAATGTAGATTGCAATATTTCTAGTTTTAAATTGTTAAAAATTATGGCGGCACCTCCACGTCCTTTGGGTCCGTTTGCTTTGTTTGATTCCATGATGACTTTTTGAAATGTAACAGTGCTTTTCCTGTTCAGCTGTAAAAACATAGCACCACCTTGATGTGCAATGTTGTTTGTAAACCTTGAGTTTTCTACTGTAACATTTCCGTTTCCATTTCTTGTTATCTCAACGTTTAAAGCGCCACCACGGGCATGGTGCCCAGTATTGCCCGTAAAATTACTGTTTTTGACAAAAACCTGTGTTTGGCCACCGGAAGACACGTCTAACGATCCACCATGTTCTGTGCACCCTGCTGATTTGCACTTGCTAAAAGTCGAATTTATAACATTTAATGTCAACGTCAACAATGAAAATGAATTTAAAGCTATTGCTCCTCCTCCAGATGTGCTCGACGCACAGTTGTTAAAAGCAGAGTCGTAAATGCTTACTGTTAACGTATGTGTACTGTTGCTATCAAGGCCAAAGGCACCTCCTCCTAAATAACTAGATGTGTTACTGAAGCGGCATTTAGAGATGTTGATGCTATTTAATTGATAGAGCTCATCACTCTCGAACTTTGAGGATGGATAAGGATCGTTTGTGGAGATGTACAAGGCTCCTCCTTTTCCTTTGATGGCCCTTGTGTCTTTAAAAATATTTTCTTGAAAATCCAGCTTTATTCGGGGGCATTCAATACTGATAGCTCCACCGTGTAATATAGACATCGCGTTGGAAAATGATGAGTTTGAAACGTCTATCTGACACTGCTTTCCTTTTAATGACATAACTGGGCCATAGCCTTCCCCTGTGTGTCTAGTGAAGTTAGAATTTATGATTTGCAATGAAAGCCGTCTTAATGTAGAGAGATTTAGAAATTCGAATCCTGCGTTTGAGCCTATGAATATGCTTTTCTTTACTGAAATGTTGGCGATGCTGCTGTTAACCGTAAATCCACTCTGATTTTTTCGATCCCAGAACTGATTTGGTTTGCTGGTGATGAGCGCATTCTGGCTGGTAAACGTAACGGAATCTAGGATGCAATCTGTTTCATTCACAGTTACGTCAATGCAGTTCTCTTCGTCTTGCGATGCACTCACATCGAAAGAAGTATTTTTCACCAGGAGCCTTGTTTTAATGCGTGGACCATAAGCATTTACTGAGATGCCACTTCTAATATTTCTAAACGTCGAATTTGTAACTTCAATGTTCAAAGTCAGTGCTTGTTCCACTAGGAACTTTGTACTCTGCTCTCCACCTTCAAATATGCAGCCATTAATCAAAGCGGAAAAATCTTGAAATGTCAGAAGACTTTCCCTAAAGTGTAGTCCTGATAGAGTAACGGTCATCGGCAGGTCATTGTTCAATCTGAGGAAGAGAAGTTGATACTGTGTGCACTTTATTTGCGGCATAGGAATTTGTCCTATGAAGGAGAGATTTTTATCAATGAGAAGCTGGTTATCCAAAGGGGTGCCTAGGCCTGGATGTCCAGGATGAAGACTTTTTTGGCAGTTGTAGGGGTCTTTTTCAGTGTCTGTGCCGTTTAAATAAATGTGATCTCCACTTGATGCTAACTTGACAGCTCGCCAGATACTTTTACAAGGTTTCTGAAAGTCACATGACCATCTGTCGTTTCCTAAAGCGCGGGAGATGTACAAGTTCTTTGGATGGACAGCAATTCCTGCAAAGAGTAACAAAGTGCCATAAGGTTAGAGAGCAGGTTAATTCTTCTAAAAATAAATAAAGAGGGTCACAATCAGCCTTGCTTTCGTTCAAAGGCCTGGGTACTTAGCACACAGATGTCAAATGCTAGGGTGAGTGGAAGCAAAAACTATTATTAGCAATGCGAAAGTGGCGAATCGAACTGCGCTTCATGAAGCATGTGCTCAATAAAGATCGCAGGTCTATTGCCTCACGCCTGCAGACTGGTTCGTGTAATCTTTCTTACTTGAAAAAGACGCGACTTCGGATCGGCTGCCATGTGAACGCTTACCTCTGTTTCGTATCACGCTGAAAATTATAACAGGCTAATTAACCTGTGATCAGGCGTTGTCGTTTTTGTTATTGTTGTTGATTTTCGAGGAAGAAGGACGAGCCTCCTAAAAAAATAGAGAGGAAGATCCCTTTGATCGCAAAGACATGTTCTGGTGTTACTCATTAAAAAACCTGAACGGAAACTTAGGGACTGTGCAATAATTATCAGGAGGGGGGGGGGGGCTGAAAAACTAGAGTTATGTAGCAAAAACTTAGACAGTACCCCCCCAAAACAAAAAAAAAAATAGTTCTAACCCCCTCCGTTATGTTAAAAATAACGTCGCACCCAAACCCCCCCCACCATCCACCCAAGATTTAGGCAAAGCATTTGCTAAGTACCGGGGTGCTTACCACATTGGCTCAAAATCTAAAACTTCTGAAGCAAGAAAGGGAAAGAAGCAGAGAAAAAAATCAAAGAACAGGAGATTTAACGCTTCAAATAACAGACGAAAAAGAGCTTGCATTATATTCAGATCCTTGTGAGGAGAGCCTGATGAACTTTGTTATGAGCCAGATATATATGGAATTCAGCAAATCGATTCAGTCGATGAAGAAACATTACTTTTATTCACATCAAAAACCGACAAAGCTTGTCTACGAGATCTGTTTGATTCCCATTGTTTTATGGGGAAGCTGAAAAACAAGGTCATGATTTTTGCTTTACGTAGGATCAGCTCAACTGCTCAATTAATTAGAAGACTGGTTAAAATTGATCAGTTGTGAATTTGCTTTTCATTTTGATGGAATATTTTCAATAATCGTTTAACAGCTGTTCGTATCGATATTTGTTACAGTCTATCATGATGCCTGTATTGAGAATCTTTTATTGCGTTTAATTTTATTTACATTTCGAATAAAACTTAAGGCCCCCCTCCGTCAAATGACTGATTTTACTTTGAGCCCCCCTTATCTTGGCAGCAATTTTATGTAATGCCCCGCCTCTAGTTTTTCAGCCCCCTCCTGATAATTATTGCACAGTCCCTTAGATGACTCAGATCGGTATGATTCAAGATAGGGAGCCATGTTGTATTCGGAAATGCACATGTTTGTTTAGCCTGAGTCAGTAAGGCCTTCCACAGGGGTTTAGGAAAAGGATATTTAAGAGGGAGGGGCTACTGCTTATTCAATTCTCAGATATGACATTTTAGTGACGCTCAAATGAAACAATTTAATTAAAACTCGGAAGTCTTAAACTTTGTTCGCTCGTGAAGTTTTGGATGATTGCATGCATACTGATAGACCCTTTCATGTTTTTTTTTTTTTTTTCAAGCTCTGATAAATGGATCAGTTAAAGTATATCCATTGAAACTGCTGAAAAAAGCGTATTAAAATCAGCAAAGTTACGTTAAGGCCCGGGGAGCTACTTTAGGAATTTCTGGGTGGGGATGTGCCGCTGGGACCCTGGAACCCTTAACCTATACTAGAGTCAACTCCCCAAATCCCCCCTATCCTAGAGTAGCTGTTTTCCAGAAAGTACTGAGGTCACTAGCACAGTCTAGCCAAAACAAAACCTTGTACCTTAAAATCTTCAACCAACTGATCAGTTTCCTGAAAAATGATACCCTATTCTAGACCCAAACTCTCTGATTTATATACCCTATCCCAGAGTAAACTGCTTGAAAACCATACCCTTCACAGCGGCACATACCTATAACCCATATATGGCAGTACCCCCCTCCTGGGCGTTAAGGCGGCACAGTAAAAGTGAGAGACGATATTGCTCCACAAAGTCGAGAAATTTTAGACTTTTCGTATAGCGGGGGCACGAACTTGCCTATCACCATACCAAAATCTGACTGGTGACTCAAAACCCTCACATAAGGGGGAAGGGGGCCAGTCTCCAAAAACTTTTTTTCGGCCCTTTGGGCCTCAGTTTGGTCCAAAAAATAAGAGGGGGCAGGGCCTGGATCCGCTACTGCTGGTCCCAGTCAAAAGTTGAAAAAACCCGTGCATGAGTATATTGTAAAGCATATTTTCGAAATTCAGAAAATAAGGTGGCTCGATGGGGTTTTTCAGGGTCAATATCTCCCACGTTTGAGCACAACTGAACTACGTCGCCAGTAACAAAGATTTGGAACAATTATCACCACAGCTGTATTACATGGAGATGAAAATTGTTTTGATCGGGTTTACAATGACATCGGAGTCAGTGGACAAAGCGGATAGGCAACATTTTTGCATATTTCAAATGCATTGTTAGTTACTGCTGTTCACGTGAAAATGAAACTTGCAGACAATACGTTTTAATAACGAGAGGCTGTCACTTGTAACCCGGCCACTAAATCTCCGACAAAAGATTAGAGAATTGTAGCCTTTCTTTTACTGCGTTACAGGTTATCAATAATCTTGAAACTCAAAGGTAATACAAAAGGGCGCTTAATCTCAGAATCCCAAATTTAAAGGAAAATCTATAGAGCGGTTTCAAAATTATTCGCTTATCTGTTTAAGTAGACCAAAATGTTTACAAAACCGCTAAAAAGAACTCTTCGATACATATGAATCAAATCCTTCTTTCTGGCAATCGGCTAAACCTAAAGTCGAACCTCCGCTAACGATCACCTCTCTAAAACGGCCACCTTTTTATGTCCCGTTGAACAAAAAATCCATACATATTGATTCTTGTTTAAAACCTCTCTACAACGACCACTACTTCACAATGCCCACTTTCTTCTGTCCCCAAGGTGGCCATTGTAGAGAGGTTTAACTGTATCTCCACACGTTTTTAAAAGATTGAAACTGCTATAAGGTGAAATTGCATTTCAAAACCGTTTCGTTTCTATCCATCCCACCGGTGAATTTTACTTGCAGGTTGCAAGTAAAATAGTTGAAAGGCTTTGTAGTTGAGAATAAACAGCTCCACATTTCACCTCATTATTGATTTATGCTGTTTCGGTTTCGTAACGAGCGCGTCAGCAATTCCACGTGAGAAAGTTGTTTCAGAATTGCATTATTCTGATAACTTGGACTGTTGCCTGAGATCGATCATCTTGCTATTTCATTTTCAACAGGAACATGAAAGATTCGATAATAGAAAGAGGTATTATTCGAGGGACGGAGATAAGCCAATTATTCCAATTTCTCGCCAGAAGTCTTTCCTTTCATACTAGTAAAAATAATCACATGAAAAGAACAGAACATGAGCTTTTAGTAAATGTTTTAATCAGATTAAATTATTAGATCTTCTTGGCATCTGCAAATATTTCACTAGGAGAGCGACAAACTGTATGAGATTGGTGGGGGTGAGGGTGGGGGGAAACTATTCAAGGAAGACACTTATTTCATATTTCTCTAAAACAGAGAAAGGCTATTAATGAAGTAACATGCACCTTCGCCGTGCGGATATTTACCTTATGCTCTTCCCCTTCCCCCAGCAAAGTAAATGAATTTAAAGTTTGTTTCACTTGAAGGCAAACGGAAACGCTTGTGCCAATTACAAAAATGTTTCCGGAAAATCCCGTTAGACAGTAAATTGAACAGCACTTTTTTGGGTCTTTCCAGCGGAAAATTTCCGGGAACATGCAGCGGAATATCTGGAAAGGTAGTCCCTTATCCGTACGGAATATTCGAAACTGAAATTCATGTTCCATTTGTGAAATCGCACCTCTTTGATACCAGTTCCAGGCTTTCGCGGCCGTTTCTCGGCAAAGGGGACCAAATTGTCTAATGGTAAAACGCGATTCTGAGACGAAATTTACCAGTCTTTAGTTTGCATACCATTTACCCAAACCGTGAACCGACCGGTTTGCCCATCTAAATGGTAAACAACCTAAAGAAACAACCCGCTTCCTTTCCTAGTCGCAAATTTCATATCAGTTTGATCCATGAGAATTATCTTAGACCGTCTTTATCTGTTCACTACCCGAGAAAAGAAATTGATAAACTGTGTGTCAATTTGAATCTGATAACTGCAGTTTCTCGCGATCAAGCTTAATTTCTCATGTATAAAGTTAAAAACAACATGTGTCCAACATACGTTAGCACTCTCTTTGAACAGCCTGCAATTAAGTATGAACTGCGCAATCATGACTTCACTATACCCAGATTCAACGCAGTCTCCTTTAGAAAGCACTCGCTCAGGTATATGGGCCCAAGGGTATGGAGTTCTATTCCTAGTAACGTGAAAAAAGCTTCCACGTTGTCGTCCTCCTTCAAATATAACATCAGAAAAGTGGATCTTAGCATGCTATTAGATGACAATAACTGCTCTAACTGCTCTCTTTGCACTTCTTAATCTTTTATTTCTTATTTTTTATAAGATAATGGATACATTTGTACATATTGTACATAGTTTTCTCGAATTTCTTACTTGCTTACACTGTACATAGTTTTTCTTAATTTTAATTAATTTATTAATTGATTTATTCTTTTTAAATTTATTTTTGTGTCCCCACTTAGTGGTTATACACCGCTATTACAGTTTTGACACTTTAATAAAGGTATCATCATCATCATCATCTTTTATCTCGATATAATAGCCTGCTTGTCAAAACTGTCTTGGCAAAGTGGACCAATCGATTAGCATTCTTAACTTATTTAAGCGAAATGTTAATTGTTTTAACTTCCTCTCGAAAGAGATCCGAAAGACTGATACTAGAGTATGAAACATCCGGAAGTTAAAAAAATTGAAAGTGCTGTCTGCAAACTACGGTTCATTTACAGATCTAGTAATTCAGAACCAATACTCAGTCGACAGGTATTGACGGCATTTAAACAGATTTATTGACCGTTTCTTGGTTTCGTGACATAGCGAATAACTAAAACCGATGTCGTCTAAAAATGTAATCTACGTAAATAATTTAGGGCCTCTTCACATGAGCCCGGTTGACCGAGCTCGCCTGCAGCTTACCGGGACGAATTTCGCCTTGGGTTCATATGACAAATTTCAGCCTGGTTTCCTAGATGAGATCGAGAAAAGGCCAAAGATCGTCACGGGGTGACGAGCTCTGGCTCCAAATTCGAGAAACAAAGAAAACATGGCGAAACACCAAAATTCTAACTTTCGTGTTTTTGGGTTATCACTTGAATTTTACATTTTCGAGAATATAACGACATATTTTCGCCGAGGTGTATCGAAGGAAAATCTTTCAGTATTCGTCACGGTCCGAACATAATTTGCTCTAAGGTTCGAAAGTTCGGGATAAGTTTGTAATTTTTGACGCAAGGAAAAGGAGTGTGTTTTAAAGGGAAAAATTATCACTAAGAAGTTTTTCTAAAAAAATCGAAGGTAATTAAATTCCGGTATAATTGATATACTGCGTGTTTTGACGATTGAATGCGACATGCCTTTTAATTTTTCCAGTTTACTGTTCTAAGTCTAGATCGATTTACTGCAGGCTTACCTTTCAAGATGAAGCACAAGAGAAACCAATGTACACCAACGCTGTAGTAACGACTTGCACTTGCCATCATTATCAAGTAGTCGATAATGGCTGTTTAATCCTACGGTGAGGTCGTCAATGTGTTCATACTGGCGGTAAATCACTCACTTTAATTGGATTCTGGTTTTGGCGAATTTCCTGGTTTTGTAGCAGCTCCCACGCAAGCCGGTCGCAGTCGAGCATCGTACTAATTGGCCAAGAGAAATGCATGATTCACGTGACTTTGTAAAAAGCTACTGATACGTTTAGTCTATAAGCGAAAAAAACAAAGCTGAATTAGTTTCAGTTATGTTGATATTACCATAGTATAGTATATAACTGTGTTTATGAAATAACTAAGATAGTACGCGCGATCTGATTGGTGAAAAACCTATGGTTTATTGTGCCGGTAAACTCATAGAAAACTTAAAGTCATTTTATAAAAGCACGAATGGGATGTTGGGAAAACACTCGAAAAGCTTGTAAATCACTCGCCTTTGGCTCGTGATTTACAAGCTTTTCCCGTGTTCTCCCAACACCCTGCGTGGGTGATCACGCCGGTAAACCCATAGAAAGTGTGGTCTATTGCTTAAATAAACTGTTAGTATTTCAATTAACGATGTCGTGTTTTTAAGGCCTAAAGGAAGCTTGTAAATCCCTTGAAACTTGGTACTTCACGGTGGTGGTCAGTGCTAAGTGGTATGAAACCTCACAAATTATAGCCTTTTTCGTTTTATGTCAGAAGGATCGTTCTTCATGCCCGGGGACTACGAAGTTTCACCAGGGGAGGAAAAGAAAAGCCTGGCAACCCGGCAGCAATGGGTAAAAAGGTGAAAAGTACTCTAGTACTGATTATTCTTAAAAAATATTTCTGTTTTTTTTTTTGTGTTTGTTTGTTTTGTTTTTTGTTTTTTTTTACTTAATGTTTTGTCAAGAGATCATAATAGGACTCTTCGCTTGGTTTTGTTTTATTCTTTCAACTCGGAACCTTCCATCCCATGCGGCCGATTCCGCTTTTGTTCTGAGCCCGTAGTAATGTCCCATTGCGGTTTTCCAGGTTCTTGCGCGGGGACTGGGCTTCTCACACCGTCAAAGTTGTGTCGTTGTGAATTTCGTTTGAAGTTGATGGGTTATCTCTGCTTTGAAAGGTAACGTTTTTTATCGTTTGTAAAAGATCTTAAGACCAGAATCCTGCTGCAAACTGTAAGAAATTGTTTCGCCTGCCATCTTATCGCGGAAAGTTTTATTTAGCGAGAGCTGTAAATCGAGGACAGCCAAGTATTTCTAAAGTTACTACTACAGTTAGAACCTGTCTCCTCAACGGCCGCCTTGGTGACAGATCATAAGAACGTGGCCGTTGTAGAGAGTTAATGTATGGACTGTCCGCCAAAAGGCTAAAAAAGGTGCCGTTGTAGAGAGGTTTTAGCAAGAGTCAATGTATGAACTGTCCGCCAAAAAAAGTGGCCTTTGCCTTTGGCCATTAGTGGACGTTCGACTGTATTTCAGTATTTAAGCTTCTATCTCAACCGCAGCAATATAAATTATTTCAAAATTAAATTAATTTATAAAATGCTTCATTTCTGATGATTTCTATGAACCTTTAAGCTCTAACGCAGATGAAGAGGACATAAGAGTTAAACTGACTTCTCTGATCTGTATTGTTACGTAGAAAGCATAAAACGTGGTAACATCATACATTGTATGACTGTTTGTCAGTTTACTTTTGTCTCTTTTTGTAGCCAGATGTAATACAAAGTGAAAAGACCAAACAGAACAACATATGCACAATGGGAAATACAGGCCTTGGGAAACACAGAGACGTTCATAGCTCGGATTCAACCTTGGAATTTGAAACTGGCAAGAAAATGTTCCCCAGTGAACATGAAGCCAAGAGGATTTTGTCAGGTGCGTTGAAATGTTGTATCAGTACAAACTGCATGAGATGAAGAGTGCCTTATTACTTAACCCTTTAAGCCCCAATATCCACATACAAATTCTCCAAACTGATCTCCATAGATTTTCTTAAGAATTACTTGAGAGAATTTGATAAAAGATCATGGCATTTTTCCTTTGGTGATCATTTTATTAATTCTCATAACTTTATCTCTTGACAATGTATGGATATTATTAGGAGAAAATTGTTTTTGGTCACTATTGGCACTTAAAGGGTTAATACTTGCCAAAGCACACAAATTATGCATGTGTCACATGCAATCAGATTGAAAATCCCAATCACACCCCTTATTGGCCAGCTCAGGGGTGATTAGCCAAATACTATTCACCTCCCAGCAACCAAAGAGAAACAAATAGCTTTTGAGAATGAAAGTGGACTTTTTTATTGAGCACAGAGCATTGGATTCCAAAATAGTGTAATTTTGGTACCGAAGGTCATTCATTTGATCACCTATTTTACCGTGTGACTTTGTGAGCATCAATATGCATTGCATGGTGCACAAGATTTCAAAATAAAAATTCATAGCATTTGGCCAGAAGAAATTAATTCTTTGGTTTGACAGTTACTTTTCTGTCCCAGGTATTTCCTAAAATCAATTTATTTATTACTCAGGAAAGTGTTGGTTAAAGTGGTGAATATTTTACAGCAAGGAGACCGCTTTTGATTTATTCACATTCTTTCGTGCAGATTTAATCCAATCAGAAGCCAGCTGGAAACTGTCCTCAACTTCTGATTGGTTAATGTCTGCTTGAAAGAATGTGAGTTTATTAAAGGAGGTCACAGTTTTGGGCTCCTTTCTGTTATACCAAACCATGAAGCAGCAAAGTAAATGCCCATCACTTTTTTTCACTTCCACTTTGGTTAATTACGGTTATTATAATATACACGAAAAAATTACTCAATTCTGATTGGCTGAGAAAGGAGTGCAAACTTGTAACACAAGTGCAAATTACAAATGGTTTCTGATTGCCTGAAAACACAAAAGAAACCACCAAGAACAAATCAGATTAGAGCTGTTTTAACAACAAAATTCAAAAAAATGGCCACGGTTTTCAGCAGACAATGACGGAATTTAATTTTGTACGCAAAACAACAATAGAAAAGTTAAAAAAATATTCCAAAAACCCGAACACAGTAAAAAGTACGGGCTCGTGCACTTTTGTTGGTCTTTGAAAAATTTACTCATGCTTATTTATTCCAAATCAGGGCTGTGCTCTAGCAGAGCCCGGTGGCCCCTGGCGCCTAACTTTTGCCCTCGGGCGACTAGAAAATCTCAAATTTTTCATGCAAATCATATGCTGGGCACCCTAGATTATAATGTTTCAGAGCACTAGGCTCCCTTCAATTTTCCTTAGAGCACAGCCTTGCCAAATTGCACGCGAAATCATGTGATAACCTATACTTACTAGATTCTCTTTCTCTAGATCTATAAATTTATGAATCAGGGGGAATAAGAAGTCTCTGATGGTCTTATTCCACACATCTACTCAAAAGTATAATTCACTTAAACATGTATAAATGTATCTCTAGCAAGGGAACCAGATATGGACAGCTACAGTGACTATGATTATGAAGATGATGCCATGGAGCCGGAGCCACCACAGAAAAGAACAATACCAACAGTGTTTAGATGGGAGAACGGCGGCAGAGACGTGCTACTGGCTGGGAGTTTTAATGAATGGAAAGCAAGGATTCCCATGAACCTGAGGTTAGGGTTAACCATTTTGTGATCCTGTATTTGAATTTCAGTGCTACCAAAATTGTTGAAAAGGGTTCATATACTGGCTCTATCATTTACCACTAGTTAAATTCTTAAAATGATGTGAGGATGGCCTGAAAAAAGAAGGTCTTGTAGTAGCCTTGCTTCTTTTTTAGGAGAGCTTTTGGACCTTAAGGGTCCATACCAGGCTATTTTTGACAATTCAAGGTCAATTAACAATTATTGCCTGCGTTATTCCAGCAAAAAATGTACCCCCCAACTGAAGACACATTATTAATTTTTTACTCCCCCTCTTCCCCCTGGGTTTCTAAAATTGCTTGAGCGGCTCTGCCCTCAGGATTTCTAGAGCACCCTGATTCTTTTACTCTTTGCTACATATCTTAAGCACCTTTTTGCTAATATTTAAAGGAAGTGTATGTACATGTTCTGTTTTTGAAAGTTTGTATTATCATTGTTATTCGTTATTTTCTTTTTGTAGTCAAGGAGAATTTTCAGCTATAATTGAACTTCCTGAAGGAGAACATGAGTACAAGTTTTGTGTTGATGGGCGCTGGATTCACGACCCAAATGCTGTGAGTACTTAGCACAAGATAATTTATGAAGATAAAAGTCAATTTCTAACCATACATAATTGTGTCTATACAGGGTTTTCATTAAGTGCCAGTAGCCGGCTAAAAACCGGCTACTGGGAGGTTTGAGCCATCTACTTTTTTGGGAAATAGGGTAAAGTGAGAGAGTGAAAGCCTCGAATTGCCTACAAAACTCAATTGGCAAGGCACCTACTTTTACATCCTAACTGTCTACTTTAAAATGTAATGAGAACCCTGTAGTATGTTAATCATTAATAATAATTTATTATGTTTGTATGTATCGTCTTCCTGCCAAGCAGCAGTTAAATGTTAAGAAGTAGTATTTTCAATGGAGGGGGAAGAGGAGCCATGACTGCAGAAATGACGTTTCCATAATTATCCAAAGTGATCAATCACCTTACAAGGTGGTCAAAGCATTTTTTCTAGAAAAATAAAGCATTTTAAAATAAGACTAAAATTATGCCTAAAGTGACACACTTGCTCAATATAAAAATCTCACTTTGCAAAAGTGGAGTAAAAACCAACTACAGTATATTACATTGCATTGCATGCTCATTAATGCACCAATTACATCTACAAAAACCTTTCACAGGAGAACATAGATCTGACATTTTAAGTCAACTTTGTTGCACTGATAGATCTTATATCATCCATTTCAACTGCATACATTAATAAGCCCTTTTTACTTTCTTCCTTACCAACAGCCAACCACAAATGACAATTTTGGAGGTAGAAACAATGTGATCAATGTGAAGAAGTCTGACTTTGAAGTGTTTCAAGCTCTCGAGTCTGATGCAAGTGCAAGTATTGGTTCTGCTGGATCAATAAGTGAGTTACTAGCAAGGATTAAAAATTAATAACATAAGCTATATCAAAGGCTTGCACCACTTGCAGTTAAAGAGCAAAAAGTACAATCATTCAAAACTCAACTACCCTTAATTATATTAATTGCCCCTTTTTAAATATAACTTGAGTCCCTTTTGTACTGCTTGTGACATGAGCCTTATTAATGATCTAATTTCTGCAGGGGGAAAAGAACACTCAAAAACCATAATTGAATGAGTTCAAGGTCTTTATAACAGCAACCCTCCAAGTTGCGACCATTTTGGTCGCCATAGCGCCTAAGATTTTGCAACTAGCGACTTGATTTGTAAAAAAGTCTCCCTAAACCAAAAGAGTTGGTTGCCAAATGGTGACAAAGCAAAAACTTTAACTTAGAGGGTTCAACAGGCCAGAGAAAAATACACAAGAAATACAATGGAAAGTTGACTAGAAAATTCCAATAATGATCTTTTTCACTGCCCTCTACATTAACCTGACCTGTTTAAAATAAATTAAAAAGAATTATTCCAGAATCCATGGAGTCTTGCCCAAACTTTTTCCACCAAAACGATTTAAGCCTGGTAAATTCTCAGCAAATGAAATATGTGGGAAGCAAAAAAAGGGAAAGAAGGTGGTGATGAGAGAAAGCAAATGGTGACATTAGACAATGTTGAGTACCACGGTGACCATAAAACTAAAAAATCTCAACAATTTGTCTTTAACACTTGCTCAAACTTCAGAAGCTTTTTTTTCAGGCTATTATAAGTAATATAATTATTACTGTATGTTAGCTCATGGTTATTCAGGGCTCAAATAAAGTCCCATTTGGTAGTCCAAGACAAGTAGATGTCCTTTCCATGAAGACAAAGGAAACCATCTTAGATTTCCAAAACTGGTCTTGCCAATTAAACAGTTCTTAATATATAGATTTAGCCAGGGCTAAAAGCGAAGCTCTGGTTAATAATACGTGTAAACAAAAAACATTAAATCTTGTGACGCTAAACAGGGGACGACAATGAAAATGGCTTCAAGAGTAATAGATCTAATTAGCAAAAAAACAAATTGCACGTGCAGCCACTTTTTCTTCTAATTAGCAAAAAGCAAATTTGCACGTGCAGCACGCTTTTCTGTCTTTCCCTTGCCGTTGTTTTGCATGACTACAACACTGTTTTGTACGAGTAAAACATCAAACTTCCTAGTTACACACTATTTTTATGGAGAAATTGTCGTATGTGCTTCGCTTTTATTTTTCACTGCCGCTCATTTTCAACTTGCTGGCTGCCAGCATTTCTCATTTTCTCACCGCCGCTTTGAATTTCCATGTTTTTGTTCCAACGAATTTTCAATAACTCGCTCTAGCTTTTTCTCTGTTATCCACGTTAGTGTACACATAAAAAATAACGCCAAAAAAAGACACGACTTTTTTCTTTCTACAAGTCCGTTCAGCCATGTGATTTCCTTACAAATAAAATCTTGAGTTGCATTTGGGTTCCCATACCTGTTGATTCAGTTATTTTACATTGGTATCCCTGTGGTGCGGACGGACGGTCGTACGGTCACGCGATTACCAAATTTTCTGGGATGGGTAGATTACCACATTTCCTTAGCTATATGGGGCTCCGCCCATGCGCGCGCTTCACGTGCGGGTGGAGCTCCGCTATTAAGACTCTATGGCTACCATTCATTGTTGGGGCCTAAATCTCTTCACGTTAACAACAACATTAAAGGAGTTATACACAGATAGGGTCAAGTAACAATAATTTTTAATACATTAGCAAGTCACCCTCTAACATAATCACTAAGACGAGCAAGAAGTGACCCCTGGCAAGCAAAAATATACATGAGAGCTACTTGCCCAAAGGACAAGCTGAAATTCAAGGTTTTTTTGTTGTCGTTTTTCCGAGCCCTATTCTAACTTACAATCTGCTTCCTTTACTGTTATAGAGTCATTGTCTGGATCTCCCCCTGGTTCCTATAGCCAGCTTATTCCATCACACCACACACCTGTTACAGTGCGTGACGGAATGCACTCCAGTGTTCCTCCAGTACTTCCACCTCACTTGCTCCATGTTATACTCAACAAAGAGGTTGTGGATCACAATGACCCATCACTGCTTCCTGAGCCAGATCATGTGTCTCTCAATCATCTTTATGCACTCTCCATCAAGGTGATTACTGGTACATGGTGTTATTAATGAGAATCATTATTTTGCTTAATTGGGCATTTCCAGAATAATTTATCCAAAACATACCACGGACAGCTAAGTTTTAGAATTCTGGGGGCAAGGGGGTTCTTTGAACTGGAAATTTGAAGGCATGCATACTTACAAAGAATTATTGGAATCCAGCAGGTATGGGGGTTTTAGATCTGGAATTTCCACAGGGGACAGACAAAAGTTTATTCCTTGAAAGTGCTTATATGTTATGGACTACTTAAAAGAAGAAAAATGATGTCTTTTGGAAAAGAAAGCTTGATAGAATTTTTTTTGGCGCATAAATCTGTTTTGCAAGACTTAGTACATGTAAGAATGGTTAAGAGTGCACTCACTAATACATAACTGTAGCCTAAATTGGCTTAGCTAAGCAGGTATCAAGTACTTTTTGTTCTGTTTTGTTTGTTTATTTGCTTGCTTGTTTCATTTTTATGACAGCATTATTGGTGTATCTATTTTTACATGTTTATGTTCTATTTTTTTGGTAGGATGGTGTGATGACATTGAGTGGAACTCAGCGGTATAGGGAGAAGTTTGTCTCAACTCTTCTTTATAAACCCATCAATTGTAAATAGCCTGTGCAAAGGATAGTAGCATCTTAAAAAAGAAACATGTATAAATAAATTATCGAACATTTTTAATAATATTATGCCAAAGGTTACAGTCTTTTTGTACAATAATAGTTTAACAGCCATTTTTCACACTTTCCTTCAAATTCTGTCAAAATGACAGACAAACAGATGCCTGATGTTCAAAAGTAACCAAGATGAATTGTCCATCTGACTTGGATTACTCAACAGAAAATCTGTTCTAGATGGGTAGCCCTTTGCTAGGGTAAAAACTGCTAATATGAAGAGCATTCTTTGACCTACAGCCTGTACAATGTACCTACAAAAGCTGTTTTCTCCCACAGATTTACTCAAAAGGTCCACCACATCAAGTGTGAAAACATAAGATAAATTAAGGAACTAACTGTTGCTTTTGTTCATGGTTTTGTGGATACAGTCAGCTCTTGCCTGGCTATGATGGACACCCTGATAATGCAAACAGCAGCTAAATTCCAAACAAAAATATATTACAGAATTTTCACTGAAATAAACTCCCACAATACGGGCTCTCACTAATAAGAACCAGGGGCGGATCTAGGGGGAGGGTGCAGGGGGTGCACACCCCCCCTGAGATGACTTGCAGCTTTCTAATTAACACTGTGCAGTCGCTTCACAGCTAATACAAAATTTGCTGTATCGTTTGATATGTATTCTCAGCAGCTCACATTATGTTATTGCCTAGTCAAAAGCCTTCTTCTTCATATTCGCTTTTAAAATTTGTTTACGTCATCGATCAGTTACGCCATCCCTTAGTGCTGCACCCCCTCCTAAGAAAAATCCTGGATCCACCCCTGAGAACACTAGCTCGAGGTCTCTTTAGCGCTGCTATAGAGAGTTGACTGTACAATGTACTTGATATTCCAGGAGTGGCTATGATTTTTAGAACAGGGGGGTGACACTGCTGCACACCCAGGGTACTTGCCAGATTGGGAGCATGAGGGCAGAGACAAGCCTTAAGGCTGTGCCCTGAGAAAAATTGAAGGGTGCCCTGGATCTGTGTAATCCAGGGTATCCAGCATATGATTTCTAATTATGAAAAATTCTTAGAATCTGATTTTCTAGTCACTGAGGAGGAAAAGTTAGATGCCAGGGGCCACTGGGCATTGCTGAAGCACATCCATGAGGCTGCAAAATAGCTGCATACATGTAGATGGGTCACCCAGTAAGATGGAATAAAATGTTCTTATAACAAGTGCTGACAACAATACTTTGATACAAAACGTTTTTAACAAAGTGAGCTTTCAAACTGTGGTATTTTTAACAAAATATTTGGAAGACAGCAGCCTTCAAAAACAGCAAATTTTAAGATTTAAGTTAAAGAGTGGAATTTTCTAATGTTTTGGTGGAAAAAAAGGAAAGGGATTTTCCATAGGCTTCCCAGGATTGCCCCCCAGCCATGATGTTATTAGATCTACTGGTACTTGTAACAAGAGAATGAAAAATAGCTTAAACAGAGAGGGCATTCTGTAAAAGGCTGTTTGTAGTAACCAGTAAGTTGAAAATAACAAACCTAAGAATGATTAAAAAATACAGGAGTGATTTTGCCCGTTGTGGTAAAATTATGCCACTCAATAAAATATTGTTGTTGAAAAAATTGTACTTATTCCTGACCAACTGTTTTATTGATATTTTCCATGAGGAAGTTCTTACATACAGGATAAATGCCCATGGTCTTTATTTTTAAGAAGGCCTTGGAGCTGAGGCATTATCTGATTTAATGCACCTTTCCACTGTTTTAGAACCACAGAGTAGATCTGTTCATTATTCTAAAAATGTTATTAACACTGGTTCAATTTAATTGGGACTCGTTCAATATAATTGGGACTAATTGCTGTTAGCTGTTATTGCCTGTTATCAGCCATTACAGCCAATCAGGATCAAGATTATCTTTGGCTAAGAGCTAGTCTAATGTTATCAGATAACAAACCCATTAGATCCAATGGCAAGCTTGTTAGTGAATAACGGGATAACAGCTAATAACAGCTAATAATACTTCACCCATTATACCCAATCACAAGTTTGTTAGAGAATAACGGGATAATATGCTACATTCCACAAGTGTGAATTTGACCCGTGAGGTAAAAATCTATTTCATGACAAGTCAGTGCATCATTCTCGAGTACATACTGGAAGGCTGCACGCATATATGCACATTTGATCCATTAGCTGCCGTGAACTCATCTAAAACTCTTTTTGGTTTATTTATCATGTTTTTGAAAAACGTCAAAATTTTACCGTTTTCAAATAACCGATAGGCTTTTTAACCCAGCACCTACGAAACAGTGGAATGTTCAAGAATAGAACAAGAAAATCAGAAAATTACTTTATGATCTTTGAAGAAGCGTAGCTCATAACAAGCATGCAACTATCCAACGATCTCTCGATAGTAGGTCAGTGATACAATAGTTGTGAATAGGAAACAGAACAAATCAACACTGCCCAGAGGAAGTTTATCAGTTATCAAGTGACAATTGCTGACATTCCAGCCCATTCCTGCACGCAAATTTCTTAGACAGTACACTAACACATTTATTTTCTTAAGTTAAAACGATCTTTACACTTCCCTTTATTTCACTTCGATTTAACGACGAAATCTGTTTAGAATAAGGGAACGCGTTCAAATATCGGCATCGGGTCACACCGATGCCAATCAATTGGGCACCGATTTTTTCCGATTCTGTTGAATGTCGGAATGGGCAACGGGTCTCAAGTCTTTATCGGGCCAATTAACAAAGGTCATCAAAAATATCTCGCAGCTCAAATAACCCGTCACAAAAGCAAAAGCGTGAATGTTGGTTCTCGATGCACAAACACGTTAAATTTCCAATTTAAATGTTGTAGACCAGCAGATAAAGTGTTTCTTCTTATTATTAACATTATCTTTCTTATAAATGTGTCTTGTTTGAACCGAAATTTAACGTCACAGTTTCGAACATTTGTTTGTATTTACCTATGACAGAGTATGACCAGAAAATATTAAATTTGTGTATCAAAATGAGCACGAGAAGAAACAGCAGGTCATTCAACAACGCTAAGGAGCATCTTTTGAGTGAAAGACGGCGCAATGTACACTGCAAGTGTACGATCTCAAAATGATAATTTTAAAATAGCTTGGGCCCGTGCTAACCGGAACCCAAATCGCATGATGAAAGAAATCTTTAAAGGAATAACCAGTTTAGGACTTTAAGCGAAAAAAATACAAAGAAGTCAGAACATCCACACCAAAATGCAAATGTTGTTACCATGTTGTGTTCTTTAACTGCTTAAATTGCCACAGGAGAGAAGAGGACATCGTCTGAGAATCAGGCTGCAAGTTGTTTATTGGTTGCATATGAACTCAAAAACGTGACTGATGGAGGCGCTCAACTGGTTTTCTCTTTCTCGATTCTCTTTCCGCTATTAAATTGAGTCAAACTTATCGGATGTATGCAGAGTTTGCTTTAGTTGAACACTCCGGTAAAAAAAGGTTCTGCTTTTTGTCAAAAAGTCAGCCACCTTGAGTCAAGTGCAAATTTTAGTAAGCGCTGAGAATGGAAAGCAATTTCACGTGACACCATCCTCAAGCTCACAGAACAGCTAAGTCGCTAAGCCATCCTCTCTTTGTATGAAACTTCGTTCCGTGTTTTCCGTGACTCACGAATGTGGGAATCTTTCAGTCCTTTTTGCTAATTCCCTGGTAGCCTGCGATCATGCCCTCTCCCTTTATCTCTGTAATCTGTGTTCGGATTTTTTTCCCTCTCGTGCCAAAGAAGCAAAGAAGCCAAAAAAAAATTACGCCTGATCTCAGGTTAATTCCCTGGAGACAATCTTAGCCCGCAATCTAATTGGTCGGTATTTTTTGCCGCAGATCGCATTGCACCTTGCGTTTAGGATCGTTGAATGAAAGTCGCAAATTTTCGTAAAAGTTTATCCCGTGGTTTTATATTATCCATGGGTTTGTTCTCGCTCCGCTCGCTAGGAAACCCGTTGAGGTCTACTTGTAACAAGTCTATGCATCCAGTTGTGTTTCGAGAAAGTGAGTTCTGGTTGTGTTTTTGGATTGCATTGTTAGAAAGTATCGAGTAAAGAACACACTACTCAGTATGGTGTTTTGTTCGCTATGTATCAACGAAGAACAGTGGTGTTTTGCGTCGTAATATTTAACTCCTTTTAATTTTCATAGAATAAATTTTATGGAGCAGCGTGGTGTCTGCGATCGACTGAAGGAAATACCTCTGCAAAACGTCGAAAATCACGTGTAGGCAAGCATCAAATCAACAAACTAGAAACACAACATGGAACATACACTATTGTTATTTGTTATGGAGTAGGAAAAAGGTACAGTCGATACAAATTACTTTGGAGTGAAACGACTCTTTTGGTTTCGTGACACGCTTCATTTTATGTATAAATCGGCAAAGTTTTTATCGTAATCGGAAACGGCAACTGGTGTCTACAGATCGGTACCGATTCCGAACAATCGGAAAATTAATCGGGTCCGTTTCCCATGATCGGGTTCCCTACCGATATTTGCACGCGCTCCCTAAAGAGAAAGGCAAACTTGATGTCACCTAAGGAAAAACCGCCGTTTCCGTTTTTCATTTTGCACTAAGCATCACTTTTTAAAGACATATTTGTACGTAAAATGTATTGACTTTTATACAGAAAAATTTTGAAAGGCCAGAAAAGTTTTACTCTGACACGTTTTGAGAAACCTTTTGTTTGACCATTATTCGGCGATCGATCAGATTTAAAGGGCACATTTTTACGCGCCCTAAAAAGTTGTTAGAAGAAAGTAGCGAGTATAAGTTATTTAGTCATACGGCGGCGGGACTTGACGGAACGCAAAGAGAGCGTTACAATCTAATGGCATACGAGCGACTGCAGGCAGCTCATGACATGTCGACTTTTGCTAAGAGCTAGTCTAATGTTATCAGATAACAAACCCATTAGACCCAATGGCAAGCTTGTTAGTGAATAACGGGATAACAGCTAATAACAGCTAATAATACTTCACCCATTATACCCAATCACAAGTTTGTTAGAGAATAACGGGATAATATGCTACATTCCACAAGTGTGAATTTGACCCGTGAGGTAAAAATCTATTTCATGACAAGTCAGTGCATCATTCTCGAGTACGTACTGGAAGGCTGCACGCATATATGCACATTTGATCCATTAGCTGCCGTGAACTCATCTAAAACTCTTTTTGGTTTATTTATCATGTTTTTGAAAAACGTCAAAATTTTACCGTTTTCAAATAACCGATAGGCTTTTTAACCCAGCACCTACGAAACAGTGGAATGTTCAAGAATAGAACAAGAAAATCAGAAAATTACTTTATGATCTTTGAAGAAGCGTAGCTCATAACAAGCATGCAACTATCCAACGATCTCTCGATAATAGGTCAGTGATACAATAGTTGTGAATAGGAAACAGAACAAATCAACACTGCCCAGAGGAAGTTTATCAGTTATCAAGTGACAATTGCTGACATTCCAGCCCATTCCTGCACGCAAATTTCTTAGACAGTACACTAACACATTTATTTTCTTAAGTTAAAACGATCTTTACACTTCCCTTTATTTCACCTTGATTTAACGATGAAATCTGTTTAGAATGAAAAGAAAGGCAAACTTGACGTCACCTAAGGAAAAACTGCCGTTTCCGTTTTTCATTTTGCACTAAGCATCACTTTTTAAAGACGTATTTATACGTAAAATGTATTAACTTTTATACAGAAAAATTTTGAAAGGCCAGAAAGGTTTTACTCTGACACGTTTTGAGAAACCTTTTGTTTGACTATTATTCGGCGATCGATCAGATTTAAAGGGCACATTTTTACGCGCCCTAAAAAGTTGTTAGAAGAAAGTAGCGAGTATAAGTTATTTAGTCATACGGCGGCGGGACTTGACGGAACGCAAAGAGAGCGTTACAATCTAATGGCATACGAGCGACTGCAGGCATCTCATGACATGCCGACTTTGAGATAACTATCAACGGCTTTGAATTCTTTCCATGTGCGAGAAAACAAAAAGTATGCAGACAGGACCAAAGCGGGAATATGTTATGGCGATAATGGCCGATAATCAAGGCACCATCAATTGTGATGAATGGTGAACAAATCTATTCTTTTTGCTGAACATTTTCTGACAGAGAGAAACGGAATTTTTCAGTGGCCTCAAAAAAAGGACTGGGATAAAGTAGCGCCAGAATTCATATTCAGTCGCAATGTAGAGGTCATTGACGATAGTAAGAGTGTGCAAGTGAAAAACTCGACATCAATAAAAAGTAAATTTGGCGCTTTTTGTGGCAAATATTTTTATCTATTCCCTGTATTTGAAGTATTTTTGGCGTTTTCTGTGTGCATGTTGCGGAACTGAAGAAGACGCATAGGGCCGGTTAAAAATGAGCCGGTGCTGTAAGTGGCTGAATCTGTCCAGCCCAAATACGTATGAAATGTTCTTTACCATAGTTAAAGTCAAGCATGCACACTTATTTCTAGATTTATTTATCCATTAATAAAGGATTGTCGAGATTTATCGTGGTTGTAACC